ATTCTATTCTTTTCTTCCTCTTAATACCATAAAGAGAATTTATCGAGCTCGAGTAGAAAGATTAAAAATACTCATGCTCAATAATATCCCAAATGATATAAGATGATTGATCGAAGCAAAGGTCCGTGTATCTGGCGAATATCCCAATGCATACAAGTATCTGTCAGGTATGGGTAGAAGCACTTTTGCCAAGAAACGTAGAGCAAAAAGATTAGGTGGCTGCCATAAATGTGCTCGCAGGAACTGCGACACTCGCTGTACTTCTTTAGGCTTCCTGTCAAATAATCGAGAAGATAAAATTACTTTAATCAAGAATGGCTTGAGTAAGGAATCTCTGGATCAAGCTATTCAGCAGATTCTTGATACACATTCTAGTGGATATGTGCATCGAGAACTGATGTCTTTATGGCTTCTGTTCAAACATGAAGAAAAACTTCATAGTCCGGAAAATATCATTTCCACTGATCATGTTTGTCAACACTGTTCTTGATGTCACTGTTGTACTGTACATATTTCTTATCCTTTCCAACAGATAAGAGTCATTTAAGACTCAACTGCTTTCTTGTCGGAACTTTCTTCTTTAAAAGCAACTCTCTTTCTTCTTTAAAAGGCAATCNTGTTCCTCACAACATTTATGTTGTAAGCCAACTGGTGAAAGAATTGGGGAAACATAACATCAACATATTTTATGGAGGAACTAGTATCTATTTCTTTAACAACCTCTTAATGGCTGCTAAATGCTTCGACATCCAGGTGAGAAGTATCCTTCCTTTTTATCTCACTTCATCAAAGGTGGTAAAAGATTCTGCAACTTTGATGATAACTCTTTCAATTTATGACTGCTTGATGTCTATGATATCTAGTTGTGATGCTTTCATCATTCTTCCTGGTGGATATGGAACTTTAATGACTGCATTTACCCTTGCTACTTGGGCAGAAATGAAATTTCATACCAAACCTATTGGTTTGTTAAATTTCAATAACTATTTCCACCACTTGCTTGGATTTCTAGATGAAGGAGTGTATCAAACTTTTATATCTCCCTTTCAAAGAGAAATATTCAAGTCTGCAAACACATCATCTGAACTCATCCAGAAGCTTCAGAACAGCATCTCAACCGTTCAAGATTCTGTGGAAACTCCAGGATTCAAACGCAAGCGAGCATTTGATCCTTTAGATCTATCATTATAAACTACAGCCATGCTGGGTGGCAGAGTTATGGAGTCTTGTGCTCTTGAGACGCACCCTCCCTTTATGTACTATAACTTTGTACTTAGTTGAGAATTCCTTTATGCTTATCTGTAACTCTTTCTAAGATATTACTGTACTAGCTTCTTAGGAATTTCTCAACAATGTGCTTGTATCTTTGCCTTGCTTTTTACTTTCCATACTATTGGAATTTCTATCAAGTAGATTGATTGTGTAAACTATTCTCTACTCGAATAAACTTAATTCACACATCAATACTACTTGCTTCTGGACTGAAATAACTTCTTGATTTAATCACGATCTTATACTTCTTAAACTTTACTCATTTGTGGTCTTGAAACTTTTGCCTTGCGGCATTCTAAAACCACTAATCATATAACTTGAACAGTATAGCCATTAATAAATAGCTATACCAAACTTTAAGGAATTTGTAATTTTTCCGAAAACACCTAGCTTGTGCTAGAGTTCCGGTTAATCTTTTTCTTTTCTTACTTCTTCTCGCCATTTCTCATTTATGACATTAAACTCATCATTTATACTCATCTCTCTTTGGGGACTAATAATTTTTCCAAAGAAACATATTAGTCTTTTATTAAAAAGACTATCTTTAACTTTTACATGTTAAAGATTACATATATATCTTTAACCTTTACATGTATATCTTTAACTTTTACATGTATATCTTTAACTTTTACATATCCAGATTAATCTTGCTTAACTTTAAAATTCTTCCGAGAACTTAAATACTTATCTCGGTATCTGGAATGTATTTCTGTTATCTTTTAAGGTTCGATTTTCAAGTCTCCAGGTAATTCGGACTTAATAACCCTTATTTCAGGTTTCCATAATTTTCCCGACTACGTGACTATTATATGTCGATACCTTAAACTTATACTCATTGATTTCTGAAAAGTACTTTGTAGACGTGTTCTTATTCTACAAGTACTAATATAAATAACTTATGACTTTATCTCGAACTTTGCCACTTTTTAACTCATGATATCTAACTGATAAGATATCAAAACTTCTGATTTATAAAAATTTGACTATTTTCTTAAAACTTTATTTCTTACGGTTCAGTTTTCAAGCCTACAGGATCTGTTCCAGCTTTTTGGTTCTTATTTCAAACCTCTATGATTTTTTTTCCCGTACTTGTTGGGAATTATATCCTGAAATACCGTCACTTCTTATTCATCATCAATCTTTATAATCATTTCTTAACTTGAATCTCATAGTCAATCTTTATATCATAACTTATATCTCATTCTTAAATCTTTATGATCATATCATAACTTAAATCTTATTTTTACATCTTCAATCCTTATGATCATAACTTGAATCTTATTCTTATGGCTTAACTTGGAATGTTCAAGTTCATATTTTTGATCTAGTTAACTTGATAAACTAGATTTCCCTTTAATACTTGAACATATATACCAATTACTAGAGTTGGTACATCTGATTTCTTATCGAGCATAGACTTAGTAAATTTGAATATATTGAAAAACTTGTATAAAACTTTGTACAGCACTTACCTGGTAGTTGACGAGGTGTGAGCGTGGTGTGGTCGGGTTTTCTTGAAACTTCCTGTAAAACTTGAACTTCTCTGAAAACTTCTCTTTCAGAAACTTTGAACTTTGCAGAGCATTTAAACTGTTTAGCTCTGATACAGCTCTGATACCACCTGTAACACCCCGCTTATCAGAGCTAAACAGTTTAAAAGTTACTCTGATAAGCGGGGTGTTACAGTATGTCTGATGCAGATGTCGAAACGATAGCTCAAAAATTTTACAGCAGCGAAAAAGGTACGAAGTTTACGCATCATGAAGTTTTTGAAAAGATTATGCGTCATTATCCAAAGTGGGAATTGAAATTGGGTGTTGAGCGTCATCGTACTCGCATTGATCGAGAATATGCTGGCGATGATGATGTTGAAGAAGATCGTGAAAGCTCCAAAAGATCAAGAACTACCGGAGGAGATGAGGACCCAAACAATGAAATCCAAGTTAGTGAAACTTCAACAATTCGTCGTCCAACTGGCAGAGACAAGGCGAAAGGAAAAAAGGAAAGGAAAAGCCACTGCATCACAACCCCCAGTTGTTCCTGATGACTACACTGAAGCACTTAATGCAATGAGGATCACACGTGAGAAAGAAATTGAAGCAATTAACAAGATTGGAGAAATTAAGATGCAAAAATTAGCCTTGAACACGCTCAACAACAAAATGAATATGCTCAACACTTTGATGGGTAAAAGCAACTTGTCTCCTCAAGATGAAGCTGTCAAAAACCGCCTTATGCAGGAATTATTCCCATGATGGTTTAGTTGGTATGATTGTGCTCTTTTTTATGTAATCATCTATTTAATGTAATCGTCTGTTTATGTAATTGTCTAGCCAATGTAATTTTATTTTATGTAATCGTCTGTTTATGTAATTGCCTATTTAATGTAATCGTTGTGGTTTTATTTTATTTAATTGTCTATTTATGAAATTGTATATTTTATGTAATCGATGTGGTTATATTTTATTTAATCGCCTTATTTAAATCAAATCAAATAAAATAATTATATAATAATATTAAATCAAAGCAAATAAAATAATTATCAAATAAAATAATTATATAATTATATTAAATCAAAGCAAATAAAAGAATTAATTAGTAATTAAAATAAAATGAAATAAAAAAAATATAATAATTAAATAAAATCAAATTAAGAAAAAAAATGTTGTGGTTGGATGTTGGTGTGGTTGCTGATAAACTTGCAAAATTGAGATGGTGTGGTTGGGATGATTATTGATGATGTGGAAGAGAGATAAATTAATTAATACTAGGGTGGTTGGATGCTTGGGTATTTGGAACGGTTGCTGTTATTCGTAGTCTAAGGGAACGCCAACTTTCTCATCCTAAAAATTCATAAGTTCCTTTCTCAAACTCTAACAATCCCACTACATGAACGCTCTATCATACTTAAAGGGTTGTGTGGGTTTTGAACAGTTGGATGTTTTTATGATTATTGAGACATTTGTCTATGACTTGGTTATTAGACTTGTTTACATAGCATGATGATTTGGTTCATTTAACTATAGAACTTGAGACGATATGTTTTTTTTCATGACTTGGTTATGACTTAATATTTGAGCATGTTGAGCTTTGAGATTTGAGAAGTTGAGATCCCACATTTATTTGAGTAAGCTGATGGAGTTAAGTTTTAAAGTAAAGTAGTTCTGCAAACTTAGAATGAGAGGTTTTGTTGTAGTGCCTTATGTAACAAATTGTTTTTGAAAAATCATTTTAAGTATGAAAAACTTAGAGTTGTCAATAATAAGTAAGTGGACACTACACAAATAGTTTGATTCTTAATTTTCATTCTTCAATATATTACTGAAATTATTCTATTTGAGCCTTAATACATATATTTGTGAAATCTTTCAAACCATGTAATTATTTTAAATTATTCGATTTCAACCTCAATACAAATATTTGTGAGATCTTTCAAACCATACAATTATTTTTTCAATTCAATTCAGCCCGGCAAAAGTCAATGTTAACGATTACTATTTGCTTCAATGTGATTTAAATTCAATTTTTTTCGAGTCTCATTCTCAGTTCTAGCTATAACTTATGATGTGATAACTTAGTCAAATGTAATACATCAATTTTTCCAAAAATCCAAGTGACGACAATTTCTTCCATAGGCTTGTTTTTTTTATTTTTATTTTTATTTATTTATTTATTATTATTTTTTTTTTCAGTTCTGACACAAACTTTTGAGTTCACATAAATGTTATTACCGAACCAAGGCCAATACTTTGTCCAAACAAATTTAATTGCATTTTACATTATTCAATTGAATCCAACTCAAAGTATCCTTATGTACATACAGGCCGCATTAATGAAGTCAATAATCATTGTGCAGAACAAATATGCAACAGCTACCAAGGCTTTATAAACATTTTATGTATGTGTCGTCTGTGGTTCTTCTATCTCTATTTCAAGAGGAAATGCTGCAACTTGAAGAAATAGTAAAACACAAACTGTTGTAAACACACATTTCGCGCAAATAGATTAAACATCCACACAAACAGTAGAAAAATTGTTTTTACGGCCTCAATCTCCACCCACGCTCGGCAAGCGCTTTACGAACTTGGTTTGCGGCCTCTGAAGTATCGTTTAGAGGTGGGTAACTCCAGCTTTCTGACATCTGAAAATCAATAACATACGAAGATACAAAAAATTAACGGTCTTGTCTGAAAATCAATAACATATGAAGATATAAAAAATTAACAGTCAAGACCATAAATGTAGTTGATAAGTTCCCCAGCAATAAATCGAAATTTGCACACCAAGAATTTGGTATCTGCTTCCATGATATAGAACATAAACAACGGACAGAAGAGTATAAATGTGTGAAAAATTCCACACGAACATCCAACAAATTGCGAGTAGGTCCAACTTATAGATTGCATCAGCCACTGATCCGTCAAAACCATACTTACATATTCTAGGAGTTGATCACAATGTTCCGAGTAATTACAGGATAACCCAGTTAGTTTGATAATTAGTAATTAGTAGAACCTTGAGGTTTGATAATGTTCAACATGTTACCCCAACAGTTGTCGAAGTTTGCAACTTCATCATATATTATATATTAGTACAGATTGAATATAGGTTATATTAAGAACGTCCAAAAATTGTAATTGTAAAAAGTAACACAAAAAGGTCAAGCTAGTTGTAATACCTAGAAAAGTTTGAAAGAGATCGCTATAAAATATTTGACCGAACACCACTGCAAAATGTAACATGAAAAGTCAAGCAATTCAAGAGGCTTAGAAAAGCTTTGAGGTGCACAGATCGGATTTTGAATCAACCAATACAACGCACTTATAAAGCGAGGGACATCAATACAAGAATATTTGATGACATCACTAATTCCTATTACAAACGGCAAATGCATCATGTAAAAGCAGATATACCAAGGTAGTTACTGCATTTTTTTAAAAACTTAGCTTAGTTTTTAAATTTTTTATTTATTTATTGGATAATCACACCGAACCCCAATCACTGTGCGGAATTGTCTCTATTTTAAGTTTTATGCAGGCTCAAAAAATATACATGTTCCATATAACCATACCTACCAATGCACAGTACTCAAATATATTTGTAACGGGAATAATAGGGAAGTTGTCACTTACATCCTCAAGACCAGTAAAAGGTCGAACAAGGCCTCTTTCCCTTAACTTTTTATGGAAATCTACAAACTTCCACGTACAGCGTTCAGCCCCAACAACATAAACAGGCTTCCTGAAGTTACCATAATATCAGGTCAGATACTCGGAATAGGTGCCATCGAAAATAAGAAAATAGCAAAACTATGTTGGGAATTTACCCTGTACTGCAAGCCTCACTCAACATGCTAACCGAATCAGCAGTGACTACAAAAGCATCAGCCCAGGCCAGATGTCCCATGTGCGGATTCTGTCCTGATTAGGACAATACACTCATTAGCTAAAAGTTCTGAAAGTTCAAGCCACGAATTACTTATCATGTTACATTGGGATGTAATGTACCTTCACCATCCCATATGTGGATTTTTGTATGAGTTCCGACTTCTTTAATTATTGTGTTAGAAATCTGTCAATAGGAACCAATAAGAAGAGTATAAGTTAAAAAAATGCGCAAAATTGGATGATCTATAAGGAGGGATATATCAGTCAAATTCAAACCACAGAAAAATTCAGAAGTAAACTTTTCACACCTTTTCTGGTGTTCTCCTTGAGAAAGATATTCTCACACTTCCACAGCTTGTGAGGACATTATGCAGAGACGCTGATAATTGTTTTGCGAGGTCCGTGCTGTATCTGCAGTACCCTATCAATGTATACTATTTTGAGAATATGAACAGCCATTGGATGAAAAGGTCGACTGGCTAAAAACAGAATTGAAGGCAAATCAACTTCCCAGAAATAGCTAAAGGGGAAGAAGGAATGAAGGCTATTTTTCAATGAAGATACTAATGCTTGGAGTAGCAAAGTCGTTTCAGTTTTCAAGATGATAAATAAGTCTGGTCTGTGCACATGGAATAGGCCTTAATCATAAAATTATAAAAAATTAATAGTAAAGGTGTAATCAATGCAGTAGTCACTGATATATCATATTTTGGGGTAACATTTTCACTGACAACGTGATACTGAATTAGTATATTTCACATTTTATTAGCTATGTATGATAAGAAATATACATAAGTTTATCAATATTTTTATGGCTCCACCTATTCCCTGCCTACATGCCCGTCTAAGTGATTTAGAACATTTTTCATTACAGAATGAAATTCCAACTATATGTTGAAAAGGTCTTAAGATTTCAATTTAAAATATCAGGAAGTGTACATTGCCTATGAAACTTTAAAACTATTAAATAGTGGGAAAAGAGTGAAACCCCAAATCAATTAAATATCCAATTTTTTACCATAGACCAAGAATTGCACTTCCAACACCCTTCCAAGTCCGCCCATTATAACATTTCCCATCTTAATAAAAGGACTATACATCATATAACACTTAATAATCAAGCAAAGTTGGTAAAAAAATTCATCAAAACAAATAAGTTGAACGAGGTTTTACTGATTGCATCATCAGGAAAAAGGAATGGGAATTACTTGTGGGCCCTCCAATGTTCACAACCAGCAAAGGCTTGGGGAGAGGTGCAAACTCATCATGCCAGGCGATAGCTGCACTTCGTAGTGCGGCAGAATCTACCTGATGGAGGGCTCCTACTGTGAGGACCTGACCAATGACAAGAACACCCATACAATATAATATCAGCTACAACAATTATTGTAGCAAACTAAACATATATTTGAATAATAAGGATACATACAACACGTTCATTAGGAGGTTCATCGGGCGTAATCCATTTCCGGAAAAGGCGAGGAACCTGTCGCTGTGCTTCAGGAGTAAATGGGTAATAATCGTGCATTGGTGTTATCACCATATCAAACCTGTCTAAACGGGATCTTGGATGCTGAATCTGAAAAGGAATTGCTTCATAGTGTTATAAACAACTAAAATTCTCCAACCAATAAAACAGCTGCTAAAAAACTCCTACAGATGAGCAGTCAAGGAAAACAACGTAAATTAACTGTCAACAACTAATATTGAACTAAATGTATTTTTTTTCCCTCTTTTAGTAGTTAGATTCTTTCATGTAATATTATTTTATGAGAAGAATATTTATATTTCATAAATTAACTCTGTTTCAGTGCAACAATTCATCATAGATATACCCAGACTATCCACGGAAACCTTGGATGCTATAATGCCTATCATAAGCCTGGGAGACTATAATGTCCATCGTAAGCTTGATAGCTTAGATTCTGCTGAATCAGAACAAATTAGCCGACTTAACTTAAAGTTGGAAGTAATAGGCAGAGGGAAATCTTAAAGAGAAATTTATAGAAGAAAGTCATGATTAGAAAACAGTGAATGTAACAGTTCACGGAGTCTAGAAACATGAAATATACTTATAAAATTGAGAATCGAATGACTTCAAAGTGACCGTGATAGAACTTTACATCAGGACCATTTTTGTGTAGTAAAATATACATTGCAGATCTTTTAAATGCATTTCTTTGGGATACAATGACAGCACCAATACAAAACTGAATCAGTATTTACTTCTGTATAGCGAGACAAAATGTTTTTTACTGGGACTTGCCAGAAAGAAAGACGGCATACTAACCTGGACAACAAACACATTGTCAGATGCCAATCTTTTTATAGAGCTTGCAGTTGAAATGGTATCTCTGCCAGATGCTACCACAAGTAGAGGACCATCCCTGGAAAGAGGATAAAGGCACGAAAATATGAACAAACAAGAAACAAGAGAATAGTTTGCCCCGCCTAATTAGGTGTATGCAAAAATAGCCTCTCTAAAGAGAATATATTTCAATTATACTGGTTTGAAGAATTCTGAAACCAAGTGACTTGATGGAAATTGTATACCCAAGAAAAAGATGGTTAATGTTTATTCTATGAATAAACATAATACACTTGTAAATCACATAATAGAGAACAAGACCGATCACTTAACTTGGCGAAGAAAACAAAAGGTCGTTTCATTTGATCAAATAGCAAGTTAAATCAATTTTATTACAGGGAATTATCTTTTTATTTTATTCCGCCTAAGCTTCTCTCACTGTACCCCATTAAGAAAACACAATTGACTGTTTCTAGCTCTTTCAATAGGATTTGGATATAGCTTTCCTAACATATGACACAAAAATGACTTTCATAGATATAATGAATGATGTATGTTCATCTGTACACTAAAAAATGAAACTCTTCAGGAAAAGCATTCATCTCCATTCATAAGACCATCATAAAAGCAGCAGATCTACTTTGTCATTGACACAATTGGAAAATTTAAGTATGTCATATAAGTATTCAGGTTCGGATCTTCACTCAATAAGTCAAAAAGGTAAACAATCAGGTAGTAGGTATTTCCTTTATCACAATAACCTTGGGCCCGTAAATTCTGTCTCCAGTCAATGGAAACAGCTGTTAGCAGAATTATAGTTTTTCTCAATAATCCGGATGAAAGAAGTCACACTGTCCAAGTAGTAATCCCTAAACCTAGTATATTTTAACTTTAAATCTCAATGAACTATATCCTACGTAAAGATACGACACTTTGAATGGGGCACAATACTGACTTGCCAAGTATACCAGTAGATGCATTCCTCAGTCATATTGTGCAAACGTGAAAGAGAGAGATGGGGAACTTACTTCTCAAAAGTTTCTTTGGCTAGTTTGACAATATTCTTCACATCAGCTTCCAGCACCATTGACAAACCTACACCGACACCATTCTCCCTGGGGAAAGGAGTTTGCTTCGTCCCTCTTCTAGCAATAAAAATTTGCGAATATCCATATATCTGGCTAAATATATAGTACAACTTTTTGTGAACAGAAACCGGGAGCCAGTGCAGCCACTCATTGATACCTCCCGTCGGTCTCGTAACTCGCTGTACAATATAAGCATTAGATAAACGGGATACAATTGAATCATTAAGCTGCAAATTGCAATATATGAGATACTAATATGTGATATTTGAATTTTCTAAGATCGGATGGTTAATAATTGGGACGAATTTGGTCACACATACGAACAGTAATGTGCAGGTTAGCCATAGATCATAGATACATGCTGCAGAAAAGAAAGAGGTCAGAGGCGGAAACAAAGAAGAGGTCTTACTACTAAATGGAACGATCAAACTGAAAAAACAAATATCTCCATGGATGGGATTAACTAAAAAGGGGTTTCAGCAAACAAGGCAATTCAAAGTGAAACACCATTGCAAGAAAAGCTGACACTGCAAATAGGCATAGAAACCATTTTGAAAAACGAATTTAAGGTATTAAGCAGATGATGGGTTTTGTCTTTTCTCTTTTTCTTCTCTCTTTTTTATATGTGAGAATTTTATAGACCTTTGTCCAAATTTGTCTTAAAATTCAAAGGTAAGTAATAAAATCATTTTTCCTCGGATTGATTCCATGTATGAAAGGGAAACTAAAGCTTCTATGGCCTTGTCCTCAAGCTCACTCCTTTTCACTCTTTTGTATGTACTCACCAATTCGAAGTTCCTTATAAGCATAACTGCAGATTGAACCGAAGAAATTCAGAGATAAATTCTCGTATTTTTCTTAAATAGAAGAATGCCTCAGTTGTACAAGTTATCAAAAAAAAAAAAAANCAAAAATTCCACCTGAAAAATTGGTTTCTTTCATTATGCTCTAAATTCAACTATTATCACCAAATTGGTACCAACAGACATTGTTTTGAGAATATTTATCTTATTATGGGTTCCCAGGGAACTCAAATTCCACGATAACTATTCTCCGTCAGAGCTTCCAAATGAAAAGAATATATGATATGAGAACAACTCACAAAATTGGTCTTACAACGCAGCAAGTAAGGCAGAAACGTTTGGCCTGAAAACTACTAACACAGAACAAAAAGGATATATAATTTTACACATTCGTAGGAGCTCAATGTACAAAAATACACGCCAATTTCTATTCCTAGCTAGTTCTGCTTTAAAGAAAAAATAAATAAATAAATAAATAAATAAAAGAAGAAGAATAAGCACATAGACATGGAAACGTCCATTAATCCCACAATATATCATTTTGCTTCATCATCAAAACTACATCGCATGAAAAGCAACAACTGAACCCGTCAACAAACCCCAGTTTAGAACCCAAAGCTATAGAATAACGCTGGCGGAAAGCAAAGTGAGACTTACATAGAGAGTTTGATTTTCAGATAAACCGAGGGCGCGAACCAACCCAACACTCTGATTTTCCGATGCCGGGTAACCGTTGCCAATGATGACAGCTCGTCGGATAACGCCTTTAACGTCGCCGTCGAAAACATCGGCCAATCCGCTCATCGGTTGCGGGCTCCCTGGCGGCTCCGGAAGTCTTATTGGCTTCATTGGCGCATAAAAAGGAAAAAGAAAATAGTCCAAGGAAAAACCCTAGGTAAGATTTTAAGTGCGGTTGAACTCTATGAAGACTATGAGAGGCAGCGATGACGGTGATGACGAATTGGTTAAAATCATGTATGTATGGTGGGTGGTGTGTAAAAATCCTGTACGTCCTTGGATCTATCCTGAACTGGCGAAATGTTCCGGCTTAGAAACTATTTGGGAATGAATGAGAATGTATATGGTGTGTGTACGAGTCTATAATATTTAGGGTGCGTGTAAAAGAAATAATTTGACTGAATTAACTCAAGTTTTTTTAGTTAATTAAAGTTAATTTTAAAAAAAAACTTAAATTGAGTTTTTTTTAGTTAATTAAAATTAATTTTAAAAAAAATGATATGATAATTGTTAGTGGGATTTTGAATTTATATTAAATTAATATTTAAAGAGAAATGCTATAGGTATATAACACTCACATTGGTGGATCCTATCAAAAATAAAAAATTAAATAAACTCTACTTTATGTGAGTGTTATGTACACTTCTCTATATGTACATTTATTATGTACTTATAGTATTTTTCATATTTAAAATAAAATAATTAAAATTGATTTAATGTAAAAGTATGAGAGATATAATATGAAGTGATTGTTAAATAAAATTATGTGAGTTGATTATGAGTGAATTAAAGTTGATATGATATGTAAAAATAATTGTTTGTTATTGTTTAATTATTGATTGTTGTTATTAAATTATATTGATAATATTGAGAATAGTGAATTAAAATTGAGTTATATTTTAAATATGAATTAATTTGATTTGAGATTTTTATTTTACAAACATAGCCTTACTAATTGGGATATGGAATATAGTTTCTCCCCTATATTCGGATTCATTCCTTTCTCCATTTTCACTACAGTAGTCAGTAAATAGCAAAAGGGATAAAAATAAAAAAATCGAAGGATAGTGATCAGAAAACATTCTTCTCAGATTAAACTCCATTGATGGCTGAATTGAAACCGGATACTAATCCTTCTTCCTCATCAGGTGTTGTGCGCCTGTTTCTGATTTCAATTTCATGTTTCCTACAATTAATTCTCAGCCAAAGTTGTGATCAGATTTCCGATCAAAGCTAGTTTCTTTTGTTTTTTGATACTCCCTTCTGTTTTTTTTTTCCTCTTTTAGAAATGAGGTTTGATTGATTTGTGTTTGATTATATGAAACGGTGGTGCTCAAGATTCAAATAATCGTGGGCAGGGAAATATGTGAAGGCGCCTAACTTGTTCGAGAGAGTGAAGGAAGAGTTTGAGGCAGTTCTGCATAATGTAAATCAAGGGCATCACAAGGAAACTCATGGGTTGCGTGATGATATCGACGGGAATAGCTCCATTGATGAGATAAAGGCTCCGAACGTGTTGGAGAGAGCCAAGGAGGAAATCGAGGCAATTGTTAGCTCAATTCATCCCAAAAAGAAATCGAGAGATTTTGATACACAGTTGTCTGGTGAAGCGAGGTTAGGCGAATTCCAATGGGACGTGAGTTTGTAAATTATAAGATTTTCAAATGTGGTGTTGGTTTGTGAAACCCTGGTTATTTGCAGGGATTCTGGTACAAAGGACTCTTTGAAGCCTGAGGAGCCTGAGTTGCATTCAGGTTTTGATTGTGGTTATATTTTTGCAATTGAAAGTGTTAAATTTTAATATCATCTGTGTGATGTAAGTATTTTGATTTGTATATCTATTCTCATGTTAGCTCATAAGTTGATCCAATTATATTGGTTTTATGCTGGAAACTTTGTTGAGAATTTGCTGCTAACAGCCTGAATGAATGATGAAGTTTGGAGTCAGCCAGGCTATAAGTAGAATATGCAACTGTCAAACAAGAAAAAAATGAAAGGAATAGTGTATTTGTTTAAAATTGGCTGAAACGATTTATTCCGTGCTCCTTCATGCTATCATTTAATGTGCTGAAAAGTAGTATAGAAGCAACGATAAAATGAAATGTTACTTCTTCTGATTCTTCATTTGAAAGTTGAAGACTAAGGTTTCTCTTGCGGCCCTATTTGAACTATTTTTCTTGAAAATCTTTTGGTCTGCAAAGTGGAAAATCATTCAAGTATTTTGACCTCGGCCTATTTCAATTTAGCTATTTTAATGCCCTTAATTCTATCAAAGCGTAATTTTTCATCACCAGAAGTGACTTGATCTTCTTTCCGAATACAGCTGGCAAATATTAGTCCAACTGTTAACTAAAGCAGGAAATGGTGGAATATCATGGATAGAATGATGAACTCATCAACATAATTTCCCCCTCGACATTGATGCAAGATGCCTCTTGTGTTTTCTGAGTTCATTCCTGGAATGAGTTCTTCATCAGATTGAATAACGATCTATCTTATAACTGTTACTTAGTGTTGTGTGATAACAATATCTGCTATCTTCATACAAAGATCTACATTGTATTTCATTCTAAATGCATTAGAAAAAATAACAATCTCATCATTTTCTCTTTGCTGCATTTTGGTTTCCTCAAAGTATTATAATCCACGCATTTTGTGTCCTTTAAGCATTGTCTTCTCGTTTTAGTTCTTTTGGCAACTTCTGCTGGAGAGAATATTGGTGATGTTGAATTGTATGCTTGTGAAATATCAGTATTTGTCTCTACTTTTTTTCTTTTCTTGTCCTTTTCCTCTAGTGTACCAACTGATTGCGGTTTCGAATCCTACCCACTGGCTACTTCATAAGTCACTAGGGCTGGATTAAGAATCCCAAAATATTGTTGGCATTTTGTAGATCTGAAACTAAAGTGCATAGCATAAATCTTGGATGCAACTGAGGTGTGTCATAGACTTTGGTGGAAAAGCTCATATAATTATGGTGTGCTGATATTGAATGGATCCCGTGTCATTTTATGCTTGTCAAGTAAATACATCCCTAAAGTTTCTTTATAGAATTGGTAGAAAACAATTGCATAACAGCATATTGGTAGAGTTGAGTTATTTTGTAGTGTTCACTTCTTTTACGCATTAATTGCATAACAAGTATCAAACTGTTGTTAAAAAAATGTTTTGGTTGTACGACAATATTTTTTCCAATATTTGCAGAAAAAAATGTCAAGGCACCAAATGTTAATGTAATGGCCGAGAAAGAGAGTGAGTTGCCTGGACATAAACCACATCATCATAGAGAAACTCATGGAACGAGTGATGATATTGACGAGAACACACCAATCAGTGAAGTCAAAGGTCCAAATGTGTTTGAAAGAGCCAAAGAAGAGATCGAAGCCCTTATTCATACAATTCACCCCAAGAAAGATTCAGATATACACGTGTCCTCAGACAAAACAAAAAGTGGATTTCCAGTAATCATCGGTAAAGGGTTGGAGAAAGTGTGCTCTCCTCGAGGTCATAACAAGGATTGACTGTCAATGGAGCTGTTGCTTCATTTCTGAAACTATTATCATATATATGTTTNTGTTTAATCTTGCAAGTGGCTGTATTTAGTTTCAGAAGCTGAATATAGAATTTGTATATCACTTTGTGTGATACTGGCCAACATATACAAAGAGTTTTGAGATAGCAAGCAGAAGAAATGAATCTATACCTTATATAATGGACTAATTTATATTACCATAATTGACATGGTTTTGGGCAAGAAAATATTTTCATCTATGTTTATTAACTTTTATTTCATAGCAAATTTCATAAACGAAAATTTTATTATTATTATTATTATTTTGTATTCAATGGTTAACAAATTGAGGATTTATTTCTCTGCTTCACTAACAAATTGAAAAGTATCATTTTTAGACCTACATGTTTCCAAGGGAGGATTCACACTTTGACAAAAACAGGTAATGTCAAAAAATGCATTTCGGTTTTTGATTTAAGCAGTAAGAGAGATCTTGAAGCCTGAAATGTGGTGTTCTCGCAATCTGTGCTGCCAAGCCCACGAGTTGATGGACCGGCCCATTTATATTTACGCCCCATTGCGTACACACAAACAGGATAAAGAAAAGCCCGTATTGCTCACACCTCAAAATGTGCCTCCATTTTCTCGACTTCCCTTTCCCAAACGTTTGAAATCTGGCATACTGAGAGTCTACTGGTAACCGATAACACTCAGCCTCACTACTTTTACATTTCCAGCATAGCACGCCAGAGCTCCCACTGGAGTTCTCAATTCCAAAACTTCTATACTCGGGCGGTTTTGGCCGGTGGTATTGCCGGAGACTGTGCCCTCCGTTCTCCAGCCGTCGGTCTCGCGACGGCAGCGACTTCTCATCTACTAGTAAGTTCTAATCGTAATTACTTATTGAAAGCAATAATTGAAACGGGGAGTTTGTGCTTATTATGTTGGTGATTCTTACATTAATACTTAATTACATGAGATTTTGTTTTGGGTGTTTTGGTTCTTAGGCCGGCAACAATGAATGTTTGCTTCTTATTTCACATCTGGTGTCTGTGTTCATATTTTTCAAACTCTAAGTGCCTTCTCGTGCAATATTGACGGAGATGTTGGTCAATGAAAAGACAGGATGAGGATGGTAAGTAGATTGATGCGTCTTGTGTTAACATTACCAATTTCTTGCTGCTACCTCAGAAGGAGTGTTTTCAGCAAACATGTGTAGACTGATATATGCAACAAATTGCTATGAGTTCCTGGCTGATTGAAGGGAGTTTGTAAGGAAAACAAATATAGACTCTGCTTTTGATGACTTTGCTAGGTTTAAAAGCTCTCAGGTTATGTTTACTTTTTAGTTCAGTGTAACAGATGTGAGTACTTGTGGATTTTTTTTTTTTTTTTTAATTATTATAATAATTATGTCTCTGTCCCTGTTACAGTGGTTTTCATGTTTCTATCTGCATTTTGATGTTTCATGATATATGAATGTCAGGTGCTTGGTTTAGACGTTTCATTGCGGGAGTCCTTTTTCAGTTAGCGGGAAATGAATTTGCTTTGTTGTAGTAGTAATAAGTGCCAGTTGAGACCCAAGGTCTCCGCTTCCACAAACCCATCTTCGGATTTTTTGAAGAGTTCTGCCAGCCTCAGTCATGTTGTACGTTTTATTTGGATGCTAATTTAGCTCATGTCTTTATTAGCATTATGCAATAAAATTTATGTGGTCTCGTGAAATGTTTGTTTCCTGAAATTATAAATGGATTTCTGATACAGGGTTGGGGAAGAAGAGAAACTTCCCATAATAACTGCAGATTTACACAAGTTGTATCTTATTATAGCCTGAGAAGCCCACCGTACAAGCTTGTGAGCATTTTATATACTTAATTTTCATTTATATTGTTCACTTCTCTATGTACTTAATTTTCATTTATATTGTTCTCTTCTCTTCTCTTCTCTTCTCTTCTCTTCTCTCTCTCTCTCTCTCTCTCTCTCTCTCTCTCTCTCTCTATCTTTATTCTTTCTTCTTCATCTTGTTGGTTAATACAAAAGTATTACGGATGTTAACATAGTGAAGATAATTTTCTTTAAAAGATGTCTGATCTAGAAATTTAATCCTCATTGTTTGATTTCATTTCTTTACCTCAATTTACTATGAACTATTGTCATGAGCTCATCACAATAGTTCAAATGATATATCTAACCCATAGAAAGGGCGTTCACTTGGGTTGAAACCCTTTACCTTGCAATTTGGTTGGTTGTTACTATCTCCTCTTACCTCTACCCTCCTAACTATTGAAATAAACTATGAACTTTTGTCAACAATGTTGCTGATAATCCTTTAGATTTGAAATTTCCTATGATTTTGGTATTTTCCCTGTAGTTTAGATGCATTAGCCAGTGCCGAGCATGTGAAATGTAAAATAGGCATTTTTATTGCATTTTTTTTTCCGAATCTGAAGTGCTTTGCAAGTCCGCCGCCATTTATTATTTTTGGGTCATTGTACATAAAGTATTAAATGTCCCAATAAAATATATTAATGATCAATAATTTAAAAAATATACACATATTATTTATATATATAAAATTAAGTTTATATAACGGATATAAGACTTTGCAAATTGAAATGGAGAAGGTGATCGTCAAATTGTGAATAATAAAAGAATAATTGATGAAATCTATCATAAAAAATAGTTCTGAACATGATTTTATATGTACATTCTATACTTTGAATTTTAATACTATTGTATCACATCATTAATGTATATATTGATTTATAAAAATTTTAATATTAACAATAAGGAAAGTAGAATAAAGTTGTTCGGCTCAACACTAGTCAATCGAGCAAATTTAAGTTTTGATTGATTCCCGTCCAAAATGGTATAATTGAAAAACCTTGTATATTAATGTTTGTTAATATATATTATTAAATTTAAGTTTTTTAATATTAATGTATATTAGTAAATTCTCCATGCTTATTAGTGAAGTTTCTAGAAAAAAAAAATATATCAAACGGCGCAATGCACCTTGGGTCGCTACGGAAACAGCCTCCTTGTATAATTACAAGGGTAAGGTCTGCGTACAACTGACCCCCCAGACCCCAACCTGTTGGGAATATACTGGGTATGTTGTTGTTGTTGTTGTTTATTAAATTCTCCATGCTTGTATACCTTGTAAGTGGCTTCACCCAAATTTCTAAGAAGTTTGAGAAATAAGCCCCTTTTCTCATAAGAGAAACTTTTTACTGTTACAGTAGATGGTTACATGTTTTTGGAAATATTATTGTTCTTGAATAAAAATTCATAATGTTGTGTGGTACTTTTCTAAATGTTAATTGCATTCAAGATAGTTGATGCTGCCAGAAATAAATTTTCTATGATTGGTGTTTCTAGATTTGCTCAATAATTTGATCTTCCTCCTTTTTGAACCTTTTCCTGGCCGTGTTTGTAGGATGCACTAGAACCATATATCAGTCAGAAAACTCTTGAAGTGCATTGGGGGGCCCACCATCGTGGTTATGTAGAAACTCTTAACAAACAGCTCTCAAAGAATGACATACTCTATGGATACACCATGGATGAGCTAATCAGAGTGACGTATAACAGCGGCAATCCATTTCCTGAATTCAACAATGCAGCTCAGGTAACGAAGCCTAATTATCCAATAGCTCTAGTCATTTACACTTCATCCAACGGTAAATCATTGAAGTAAGTTTATTATTTTTCTAGAAGAGAGTTTGGTTCTTGAGATTACAACTGTCATGATAAAGGTTGATGATGATGCAACAACTAGGTGCTGGATATCAATTTCGGAATATTTTCTGATTGCTTAATTAAATGTACTTTGATTTTGAGTTTGATGGGGGAAATTGTCTTGTGTTAGGAAGTGCATAATTCCACATTTCTTATCGAGTTTTCAACACTTCTCGAACCCAACTCTTACTTTCTGCCATTTTCCATTTTCCTTCCTTTAGGTATGGAATCATGACTTCTTTTGGGAATCAATGCAACCTGGAGGCGGTAAAATGCCAACACTGGGACTACTGCAGCAGATAGAGAAGGATTTTGCTTCATTTGATAATTTCAAAGAGAAATTCACTGAGACAGTCCTCACCTCATTTGCATCTAGCTGGGTTTGGTTGGTCTGTAAGTGGACTCGCCATTGATTTTTTTTTTTTTTTTTTTTTAAGCATAGAGTTTATATCCAGTAAAATATTTTCTTTGAGTTGATAGATTCAATATTCTAGAAAAGGATTTGGTTTACCAAATTAAACTTATCCCAATAAATCAAGAAAGCTGTTGTCTGAGTTAGATGAATATGCTTGATTGTTCGAACTCTTGGTTTTTTAACCAATAATACACTTTAATCAATAATACATTTTTACTGATTTAGCTTTATTGAAAACTGTACAGTGAAGAGGAAAGAAAAATGCCTTGCAATTGTCAAGACATCCAATGCGGTGAATCCTCTAGTTTGGAACGACATTGTAAGATTTCTTGGTTGTTTTCGATTTTTTAGTCACCTCAAAAGTTTTTTGTTCAATCTTAATGATCTCTCAATATTTGCAGCCAATTATCTGTTTGGATATGTGGGAGGTATGTATCATCCCCCTCCACACGAGTTCTCTGCATAGCTTAAAAATATTTTCCTCACCTAGCATTATTGATTTTTGTTTTTAAATCGATTTTTGCAGCATGCATATTATTTGGATTACAAGGTATAAGTTGACCTATTTCACATTCCCCTTATTTCTATTTTTTTCCAAATGAGTATTTATTCTGGTTAAATTCGTCATTGCATCTTTTGAGCAGAACGACAGGGGTAAATATGTCAATGCATTTATGAATCACCTCGTATCTTGGGATGCGGCAGCTGCACGCATGGCTCGAGCGCAGGCTTTTGTCAATTTAGGCGAACCCAAAATCCCGGTGGCATGATGAGGCTCATTTTCTTTGCCAGCCCATTAATTCTAAGTCAATAAAAGCATTAGTGATATCTTTATCATCAGAAAAATGCTATTTTCAGACTGTGCATACTGTAACAATGTAACAAGCCATTGGGGTTGACTAAATCACTTGAAATATTTGTGAGATGTTAGTACATCACTTGAAAGTTTGTAAGAGTAATATGAACATAGCCATGATGGGAAGGATATTTTGGAAAAGATTTGGAAGCCAAGATCGTATTATCTATAGCCTCACAATAAATAGTTATCAAACCCGCGCACATGCATGTACTGCCAAAAAAATCTAAGAACATGTGTGGATATAAAATTTTTTGGTGTAGTTGGATGTTTTGGTTTGGTTTTGAAAAAAGTGGTATGATTAGTTGTTAGTGAGTATATTAAAATATATATTGAAAAAGAGAGGTCAATAAATCCTTTTGGGAAAGTTTTAAAAAATTGGTCAACAACCCCATTGACTTTCCATTTGTAGAAACTAATTTAAAAATCTTTTCAAAATATATGGTTTTTTTTTTCCTGTTTTTTAGGGATGGATATATATCTTATCACGTTAAAGGTATATCCATCCCTAAAATCATGGTATTTAAAATCTATCCAAATATCATCTCAAAAATCCTTTTAAAACAATTTTTTACTAATTAACATATATTTAAATACAAATGGTGATATCACGTTAATTTTTTACTAATTAACGTATATTTAGGGATGGATATTATCATCCCAAAAATCCTTTCAAAATCCTTTTATTAACATATATTTAGGGATGGATATACCTTTAACGTGATAAGATAATTATGCATCCCAAAAATCATGGTATTTAAAATCTATCCAAATACAATTCATAATTATCTTATCACTTTTGTTAATAAAAAATTGTATAAAAGGATATTCACTACCACCATTACAACTCATCATTCACGAGTTGAGAGAAAAAAAAAAATACAGAGAATAATTTTTCATCGCATATACAATATAATGCTTCCAGGCTGGGGTAAACTTGATATATAATGCTTCCAGACTGGGTACGTTAATATTGAAACCCATCACGAACGGGAGAGCTATAACGCATTTTTATGATGAACAGGTAATATTTACCTTTTTTATTTCAATTTTATATAATTTAGAAAATTATTTTAATTAATATTTATAACAAACCTTTTTTGCGTCTGAGAGCAGTCCGCATTATTGAAACCATCACGAACAGGAGAGTTGTAACGCATTTTCATGATGAACAGGTAATATTTACCTTTGTTATTTCAATTTTATATAATTTAGAAAATTATTTTAATTAATATTTATAACAAAGCATTATTGAAACCATCACGAACAGGAGAGTTGTAACGCATTTTCATGATGAACAGGTAATATTCGCATTTTCATGATGAACAGGTAATATTTACCTTTGTTATTTCAATTTTATATAATTGAGAAAATTATTTTAATTAATATTTATAACAAACCTTTTTTGCGTCTGAGAGCAGTCCGCATTATTGAAACTCATCACGAGCAGGCTGGGGTACACTTGATATATAATGCTTCCAGACTGGGGTACGTTAACAAAAGAAACAAACCTTTTTTTCGTCTGAGAGCAGTCCGCATTATTGAAACCCACGGGAGAGCTATAACGCATTTTCATGATGAACAGGTAATATTTACCTTTGTTATTTCAATTTTATATAATTTAGAAAATTATTTTAATTAATATTTATAACAAACCTTTTTTTGCGTCTGAGACCAGTCCGCATTATTGAAACCAAGCAGTCTGCATTATTCAAACCCATCACGAATGGGAGAGCTGTAACGCATTTTCATGATGAACAGATAATATTTACCTTTGTTATTTCAATTTTATATAATTTAGAAAATTATTTTAATTAATATTTATAACAAACCTTTTTTGTGTCTGAGAGCAGTCCGCATTATTGAAATCCATCACGAACGGGAGAGCTGTAACGCATTTTCACGATGAACAGGTAATATTTACCTTTGTTATTTCAATTTTATATAATTTAGAAAATTATTTTAATTAATATTTATAAATTTGTATCGTAGGTGCTTTCATTAAATGCATAATACATTATCCGAATATGAGAGCAACAAACTTTATATAAACTGAGAGCAGTCTAATTTTTGTAAAATATGTAAACTTTAAACGTATTTTATATATAAAATTTTATATACTTTTAAACATGTTAGTTGGGCAAATTTTAAGGATATATATATATGTGTGTGCTAACTTTAAGTATATATATTTTTCTTATAAAATAGTCTAGACAAAATTGAGGTAATTTCACATTTTTCAATAATAATATAAAATATTTTAATACTTTCACATATGTTATATAATAGTCTGCGTATTCTTAATGTCTTTTGGTTGTAACACTGTTAACACATATAATATTAGATACTTTTAAACATATTTAGATATTTTTTTTACTCATTCTTTAATATCTATGTGCATAAAAAGAGAATAAGATTTATAAAAAATTTTCCGGCAATATACTAAATGTTAGATAAAAATCTCATTTTATTTGTTATATAATATTTCGAGTTGCATTAATTTTGATTTGTATGTGTAAAATTGATAAATTAAGCGTATGAAAAGGAACGTACGAATTACTGTAAAGATTTAAAAAATAAAAAATAAATCTAATTTTTGAATATTTTCTAAACGAATTTATGTCATAATTCGTCATAATTTTCCCACATCATGTCAATATTTATTTTATCTATACTAGGTAAAGGTAAATCATTATCTCAATATTTATTCTATATATTCTAAGTAAATCTTCTCATCTATCTCAACGGTCCGCAGGTAGTATTTCATACTTTTCTATTCATAATCAAATATACCAAACCTTCACAAATTTTACTTCACAAAGAAAGTGTTCAATAATTTATATTTTTTTTCCTTCTTTGCAATCCATTTATTTTTATTACATATATATAAATTATATCATTTTTAATATTTCACACGTTAAACATTTCAGGAAAATATACTATCCCGTGCATCGCACGGGTACTGTACTAGTAATATTTAAAATAAAATAATTAAAATTGATTTGATGTAAAGTAGTAGAGATATGATTTGAAGTGATGGTTAGTTAAAATAATGTGAGCGGATGAATAATTAAAATAATCGTCGCACACCGGCCGCCGTCGTCCCTGTCGTCCTTACTTCGGTTCGGTGAGAAAGGTGCAGCAGGAACTAGGCAGCCATTAATGGAGGGCTTGGTTTTGGAACTCAAGGACTTGACCCCAATTTCAGTTACTTTGAGTTTATTCCAATTTAGTACATTGGGCGATATGAAATTTAAAAAATAATATTAAAAACATATTTTATATATATTTTTATACACATATATTATGTATTTTATACCAAAAAAAATATAAAAGTATTAAATAAAAATATTTATATATCTAGGGTTGGAATCAAATAATATAAAAAATAAAAAATAGTAATTTTTTTATATACTAAATATTTAAATTACACATTGAACTATATACACATTATAATATTTATATTAAATAGTCTTTATATACAAAATATTTAAATTGTGCATTATAATATACATGCATATCTATATTATATTTTTCAAAAACAAAAAGTGTAAAAATTAAATAAAATTTATTAAAGCACAAAATAATTTTATTTTATTTTATTTATAAAAAATAGTTGCAATTCAAGTGCACATTAGTGTTATACATATTGCACATTAATGTGCAACAGATCTCACATTATCGAATTTGGTATTTAATATATTACGTTTTTCAAACAAACAAAATATTATAAAATATAGAATATAAATAATATAAATAATACTAAATAGATTTTTGATTATTTAGGTTAATATAATGACTTTTTTTGATTATTTAGGTTAATTAAGTTAACATATCAAAATAAATCGAGTATTTTGCTTTTAGGTTGTTTTAGTATAATTTATTAAAAAATAACTGCAATGTGAGTGCACTTTACTGTTAGACGGTTTGCACAACAATGATTGTCATATTGCACAAATATCGACATATACTGACCACTATTCCAATTTTAGATTCGGTTTGATTATCTGTTTTTTACTTTTAAAAATTCGATTATTTCAGTTCATTACAAACTCGACCAAACTATGTAAAAAAATATTACTTCTTTGCATTTTTTATTTTTATATATAAAAAAAAATATTAACAATCAAATAAAAAACGTTAAAAATACTAAACATGTTTTTTATAATATAAATAATATTTTATTTCAATTATTTTGGTTAATTTGGTTACCCGATCGAATAAAACCAAGTAATTATGTTCAATAATAATTTGTATTGGGACAAAAGTTCGGTTAGCTCATATTGCATAATAGCGACAAAATAGTGCACCATACTGTTTCATGCGTTGCACATCAATGTCTGTCAGACTGCACAATATCAACTAAAAGTTAGTCGACCTTAAAATTCTTTGTTCGAAATATTTACATGACGGTTCGATTCTATTGTATTCTTATTTCTAAATTTTGGTTATTTCAATTTATACAATTAATGTGCATTTATATCATAAATATATGTTTATATTTTTTTTACATGAAATCTTAAAGTGCATATGTACATATACTAATGTGCAACTTAATTAGAAGTATTGTGCAATTATTATAATTTTAATATTTTAGTATAAAAAAATTTGGTATTTTAATGTTAATATATACACCACATAATGTGCAAATTCTTCATCATATGGTGCATTTATTAAAGTTTGGTAAATTACAAATTTAACACATGTACTAAATTGAAAATGTAGGTAACTTTTTTTATTTGCATTCAAGTCCTTGTGCATTGTCAAATTTCCAAAATGCAGTCCCTAAAACCTCAACCAGATTTGCCACTTTTCCGGCTACCGATCCTCGCCCCGACTGCGCCGCCAGGTCTGCCACCGCCATTGGAGCCTCACTGTCACGCGGCCGCCGTTGGAGCTCCCTGCTCCACCGCCGTTATCTCCTGCACGACCAACATCACACCACCGCGATCGTTCCGTTGATGTCTCGTCGACCACCTCCACCACCTACGGGGCGAGAGCACTTAGACGAGATCCGCCACCTCCGCCGCTGGCGCGATCTATCAAGCTTGAAAGGCCACCACCGAACGCCGGATTTTTCGACCTCGAAAGAACCGCATTAGCTGCCGGCGAAAAAAACATATCATCCCAGTCGGGCTGTCCATATGGAAGACGACGGCAGTGGTGGTTGCGACAGGCGGCGGGACGGCATTTTATTTTTTTTTCGCCTGCGTGATTTATTTCGCCTGTTGGTTGCGAGAGAGAGAAACAAACGAAGGCAGATACAGATAGAGATAGAGACGAGAGAGGGAGAGAGAAAGAGGATAGAGGGGAGAGATATTGGTGTGTGTGGGGTCCACTGCATGTGTGGTATATGTGTATTGTCCAGATTGCCCTTAATTGTGGTTAAATATGTAAATTTGACTACAATATGTATGTTGAATTACCATGTTGTCATTAATGATTAATTAAATTTTGACTTATCCTAACCATTGATATGTAAGATCTGATGGTCCACATTCATTCTTATTTCTTTCACTATCTATCATTCTCCTAACTCTCTCTCTCTATATATATAATTGCTGGCTCATGAGCATTTAATAAAACCTATTAAATTATACCTATATTGCAATATAACATTTTTCCTCCAAAAATTGTTACTTTTTATTTATTTAACCTCTCATTTAATTATTAGATAATCAACACACTAATCACTTCAAAATTACAAAAATTATTTTAAACTTTTGATTTACTTAGCTGACCATATAACGTGTTGACTATTTAACGTGATTAGATGTCATTGTTGTGTTACATTTAAATTAACTTCTTTTGGAAAATAAAAACGTATTTGAACTTCCTAAATAAATAATAAATAATTCACAAAAAAAAAATACATACCAAAAAATACATTACATCCAATATAATAAATGCAATTTAAAAAAAATAAATATTCCAGCTCTTTAATTGTAAATTTGGCCTGCAAAAAAGTGCAAGAAAAATCATTAATCACTATATACATACAAATAACTCACAATACTTTATCTATGTCTGTGTATTTGCACAGGTCAAATACTAGTTATAATGAATATCAATGAACGTATTACAAATATTAACAAAATAACATTTATCTTGACCAAAATATTATCAACATGAATCAAGGAAAATCTATCTTATAATTTATTATAATAAATATCAATAAAAGTATTGCAGATATTAATAAATTTATTTAATTAATTTTTTGATCATATCTTAGTTGAAAACGTGTATATGAAAGCAATTAATGTATATATTTAAAAAGTTTCCAAAAATGGTATGCATTAAATATTTCCTAAATTTTTTGCTACTATTTTTAGTAAATGATAATTCCTATTATATATATATATATATATATAGATTTTTGTAGTGACATAACCACTTTGCTAATCTCCACTTAATTAACTTTCAATATATAAAAAATCAATCATGACAAGTTTATAATTGTAACGCCCGGAACCTTTTTATTATATATGAGCTTGACTTTAGTTACAGAAATAGCAAGTTTTATTTATTCCAAGTTCTATTTATTTTTCAAGCATTAAATTGATTTATAAATTCTAAGTCTAAGCCAAAGAGGATCCGTTTGATTTTTAATCTGGAATCGAATTTATGTTGGCCTAAGTATCGGTTTCATTTTACCTTAGAAAATGGACGTGAACTTGGCTATTTTTAATCCAAATCAAGCATTAGAAAAATCGGGAAATAAAATAAGGGCTGAAGCCCGGACGAGTCGAGGCCCGAACCAAGTAGCAGCCCGCGTACGGCACGCCGAGCCCGTGCCCAGGTCGCGCGGCCCAATTGCCGCTCCTCGCGGCCCAAATTTTCCAGCAATGGCCCAAGTGGCCAAGGCCCAAACCGGCCATCACTAAATGCCCAAAGGCCCAAGTCCCTCACTAGTCCATTTGGCCCAAATCTAGAGCACCCACAATGCATTGAGTCTCTTAATAAAATATCATATGCCACATAGGAAATAGACCTAGTCTTTAAAAAAAACCTCCCAATGCAATTAAAAGTGGAATGGTCTAGCTTATATGGCAATAAAAAAAAGTGACCAAGTCCACACTTGGGTGTATTTTGGACCGAAGTACAAAATCAAATACTCATCATTTATTCATCATTTAAAATTTTTTTTAATAAATGAAACATATTAGAGCATTTTTATTGGTTGACATGTATGCTAGAGCTAGTATTTTATTTTTGAGGATTTTTGGAAGCCATTTGATAGAGTTGCAAAAATCGAAACTTAAGCCATAATCGGTAAATTTGTGAGTATATGTATGAGTGAACCCTTGCTGAGATTTTCATGTCTAAAATCTTCTTACTACCAGACTAAATCTTTCAAAAATTTTTACCTTGAGTTGACCGTTCAAAGTACCCGTGTGTGAACCTTTGAAGTCAATCCAACTCAAGAGAAAAACACATCGTTTCCTACTACCAGACTAAATTTCTGCCTGACTCTAGGAACCTGGACGGATTTGTTCGACCTAAAAAAAACCCCTAAAATAATTATGGCGCCACCATCAAAGCGATGAGTTTGTTAGTACACTATGTTGATAAAGTTTGAGCATTGAGAGTAAAACCCTTCAAATAAGCATCACATATTGAGACCGAAAATACCAAAGTGAAAAATATTAAAATTTACTCAACAACATGAGTGATTCAATTTATGATAATTTTGCTGCAAGGTAACAACACAATACGCTCTTTATTCTTTGCACAATGGGCAATTATTGTAGAGCATTTGGAACATGGCTACTTGAAAATATTTAGGCTTGGAGACAACATATTTTTTGGATCAAACTTCATTTTATTTTGAAGGAAGGTTTTCCATTTGGATCCAAAATGGTCAATCCACTGTGACTTGTTGTCGTAGTAAGGCAGGTACTTCTTGTACTTGATACCTTTTTCTCTGCAGACGCTCAAAACCTTTTGGTTGAAGTCATCAAAGACTTTGTAATCAGCGGGCGCACTCCTATGCAGTAGTCCCAGAGTGTAGAATGTCTCCTCATCTGGTAGGACTGCAGAGGTTTTATTGCTCCATCTGCACATAATTAAGTTTTCATGTAATATAATATAGTTAGCAACACTTTGTTAATTAATTTAGATGATAAATTTATGAATTGTGGACTACTTTGTTGCGTTTAGTGGGTAATAAATGGGGATGGTAGGTGCTTGGCTAATGTTGGGAAGCAATCCAGCCAAGACATATTTATTAAACTTCTCCTTTTGGGATGCTCCCGTAAACAAAACGAGCCATGGATGAGCTAGCAGTGATCCCGTGACCGCAAGGTCCAAGTCTCCGACTCTGTAAAGGAAATCAAAATAGGAAACATCCTCTGGAAATATGAACTTAGGGATGAACTTCAACTTGCCAATCAACATCTGGTATCTCTGTTTAATTTAGAGACAAAAATATGAATGAATTATCAACGAATTATGAACTCATATTCGAACCAGTGAAATAATTATATATAATAAAAATATCTAATGTTGTGTTTTTTTTAGTCCTAATTAGTTGATCAATTTTGTTATTAAGCTTATTCTTCATTTTCTTGTAACAAGAATTCATGGATCAAGTATTTGGTGATGGCAAGTAAAGTAATATAGTACCTGTTTGACAGTGTCAACAGTCTGATCGTCGTAATACATAGCGAATTCAATGGCATATAGGACAGTATATTTCTTCAACAAGCCATCAACATCGGACACATTGGCTGAAGAATTGGAATTTATCCAGCCGCTGGGTATAATGTCATTTACGATAATGAAACCTTCCGTGTAGTTCGGAAGATTGGTTGAAATAAGGAATTCTTGGTCGTTTGTAAACTCCGTGAAGTTACTGTAAAGCAATCTCGTCACGATTGCCTGTAATAATAAAAAATCAAACAAAGATATAGAGATAATAATTATTGTAACGAAAAAGAAGTCATTAATAATTGTACGATGAATTGATACTAGCTAGCTAGAAATTAAAGTCGGATCACAAGTGATACCCTTGTTGGCGCTTTTTGTAATCGAATTTGTGCAGATATAATGACTCCAAATTGTCCAAGGCCGCCTAGAACTCCGTAGAAAAGGTCCGAGTTATTATATGGCGAACAAGATTTGTACTCCCCTTTACCTACACAACACAAAAAATGAATGAAGGCAAAATAAATATCAATGTATACATATAATAAAGATCAATTTCTAATTATGGTAACTTGAATCAAGAGTGAGGGAAAATTTTTTTTTACCAGTGACGACAGAAAGAGAGTAAACATTCGAGATCTGAGGCCCATATTTGAATGATTGTCCGCTTATGCCCGCATTCGAAAGTGTACCTCCCACGCTTTCTTTGAGATAATCCGTCCACGAAACAGGCGTGAGATTGTACTTAAGAGTGGTCCACAGCACGTCTAGCCACTGCAGCTCGGCCCCAACATCCGCATAGAAGCCATATATCGGATCCTCAAGAATCTTGATCCTCATCTTGTATGTTGTGTTGAGAGAGGTAACGTTTATGGATATGCCACCAAGGACTTGGGATTGTCCCCTCGTGGAATGGCCGCAAGCTCTTATGGCGAAGCTCTTGTTTGTTTCACGGGCATAGTTGTTGTATTTTTGCGTAATCAGAATCTGGATGTCACTGATATACGTAGGGTTAAAAACAGAAGTTGGTATGAGATGAACTATGTTTCCATAGTCTTTGGAAGCTTTTTCGAGGGATGCATTGTCGTATTGGAATCGATTTGCTAACGGATCCCAAGCGCTTGTGAGTGGGAATGGGTTCGAAAGTAAGAGAGATATTGCTATTGCTATTACTAACAAGGATAGGGAGATTGTATTTGCCATGACTGCTAACTAATTAATGGATGTAGCTAATTTAATTTTGTGGTGTTGGGTTGGAAGTAGGGGAAATTATTTATATGCGTGAACTAGCGAGGTTCTTTTGTCCATTGGATCATACCAAAGATCATTCTTACATTTTTTACTTTTTGGCTAAATCTTTTCTCAATGTACGACTTGTGTTTTTTAATCTATCACCAACTTTTTTTTATTTTATTTTAATTTTTTTTAATCTATCACCAAAAAGACAATTTTTGCGCATCATGTAACAAAGACATTTTCACAATTAACTCAAGAATACGACAACATAGTTAGATGAAAGTGTGTGTGCAGTGTGTGTTGTGAAACACGGAAATCAATGATGCAAGTATAATACATGCATGCATTGAGTATATTATGAGCCATATTTTTGTTATATGCATTTAGGATGAGTAAACCAAATTTGTTTTCCAAAAAAAATAAAGAAAATATTGTTAAAACTCACACCAGTATAACTTTTGCTCCATATTGAACCATTGATTACATTTTGATACATACTTTGCTATCAGTTGTACTATGATAAGATGTAATTTTTTTTTCTTCCATATTATTTGGTTGTGATGTCGAAAAAAGTGCAAATCTTGTAACTGCCAACGAGATGTACGTATTTTTTGATATGTTCTAAGAATGTTTAGATTAGGTGCCGATCAGTTCTTATGCAAAACATTTTGAAAAACAAAAAACAAAAAGCATAACTTAATNCATCATTCAATAATTTACAGTCCAATTTTACAACTGATTAGTTAGTACAAAAGTTGCACTTTTTTGGACATGCACAACCAAATAATATAGAAGAAAAAAAATAAAAATTACATCTTATCATAATACAAATGACAGCAAAGTATGTATAAGAATTTACTTAATGGTTCAATATGGAGCAAAGACTGGTGTGAGATACCTTTCATGGTGATTTCAGAACCTCGTTCCATTTTCACTTGACTGCATTGCATCATCTATAATGATTAAGTTTTATCAAATTGGCCATTAGGTTCCAAAGCCTACGCTAATCCGACTCTTGATGACAGCTATATCTTCTATATCCATAGCCCATCTTATCCAAAGCATGTACTATAATATTTGTCGTGTGGCTAACCGTTTAATTTCCTAAGTCTTTGCCCACTTTTTTTGACTTTATATACACGCGATGACCACGTCGTGAAAAAATCTTTTGTGTATATTCATTCTTTTTGGAAATAGTTCGAGTTAAATTATCCTTGGCAAACGTTGTTTCTAGGTGCTGTTGTTTTTTTTTTTTTCATTTTCATTTGTTTTTTTGGCATTTTTTCCGAATTTCGATTCTAACATAAATAAAAAATATCACCTAAAATATTATAATTTTATGGACAACGCTCCGATGTAATACTGATGAATTAATATTACCGTAAACAAATTTCGTCTTTATTACTCGTAAAATATGGGAAATATATTGAAAGGATGTTAATTTCTATTTTATTTTGTAAAGTTTCCTTCTCATAAAATATGGAAAATACATCTAAGATATGTCAATTTCTATTTTATTTTTGTAAAGTTTCCTTATCATAATATATAATTTCCCACTGATTACTGTTGAATTATTTTGTTCCACGGGACTAAATCTGAATTATCCCCTTGTATATGGATAAACAATTTTATTTATTAAAATAGAACTCTATAAAAGAAAACTGGGAAGAAAAAGGTAGTTGAGTATTATGAAAGTGGATAAAAATTTAAAAGCTAGGTTGGTAAAAACTCAACACACAGGAGAAGCTCGGATATGTTTTTAAAAGAGGTACTAGCTATTTTCATCCGGATTTGAAGACATAATAAATTTGACACACTGTCAAATAAAAAATTAATTTTTTTATCTTATAAATAGCGAAAACAATTATGTGATAAAGTGTGCGACAAACAGACCAATATAATTGATAAAATGCGAAATAACTAAGCGACATACGGGCGCAGATAATTGATAAATTGCTAAACGGTTATGTGGCAAACAGACGAACTAGAACTAGAACCGGAATCGAAGGTTCTGTCTTTTTTTTTTAAAAAAAAATATTTTTTAATTATATTTATTTCTTTTAATGAAACGGGCGGACAAGAACCGACAATTTAATAAACCGACCAATGCATATGTCCCGGTTGGTTCAACCCAGAACCGATTTTGCCATGACTAGAACCGAATTATATATTAGCATATTTCAGTTCGAAATGTGAAAACTCAATCTCGATTCATTTATACATTTAAATAAGTCAAACTCAAATAGCTAATTGAACTTGTCGATCAAACAACTAGAGTCGAACATGTTTGCAATCAGCTCTGTAAGAGCTTTTTTTTTTGTCTACTAAATGAGGCCAAATTAATTATTGGAGTCGAATTCAACAAAAACCGAACGAAAATGGTTAACAAACTGTGCAATGAGAGCCCAAAATAGCCCGCATGAAAAGTGTGCGTTAAGCTTATTTATTTTTATTTTTATTTTCATTGTTTAGATATTACTTGCTTTATTAGAATTTTAGTTAATTTAGTTATTAAATTCAATCCCCTCATTTTATTGCTTTCATAATTTCAATTAATACGAGAAAATTCACGATTTGATTCACACTCCTCGTGGGATCGACCCTTGCTCGCCACTAATACTAGTTAGTAGAGGTTAGTCGAGAAAAAATATAAATTATAATTTTGCCGCGTTGCAACGCGCGGTCAACTGCCTTTTTCAAGGCCCGCTAAAAATCCATAACAAAAGACCCTAGTCCGGAGGCGCTTCCAACCTGGCGAGGTAACTTCAGAACTTGCGAGCCTGTCTGAAGTATGATTTTTCAAAATACGAATTTACCTGAAAATCTATGAGTAGGCTTAAGAATATGAACTTTAAAATTATGTAATCATGTGAAATTCTGAAATTACTTGTACTATCTGAGTATGAGTAAAATGTGAACATGAAAATTTGAAGCTACTAAAATTTTTGGCCCCAGTGTCTTATTAAGGCCTGCCATGATGGTGGGCCGACCCTACCTGCCCCGCAAATTTGTGGGTTTTGGCGAGCTGTGGGTCGGCCCGCCCGATCATTTGACATGTTTATTTAGAGGATAAAATACACCATATCCCTTGTATAATAATATAAATGTACCACTACAAGCAAATGATAAAATTTCAATAAAAAGTTTCAACAATAATATATTTCAATAGAATTTCAACGGCAATTCCAATGGATATTACAATGTTATTATTTTCGTTGGAATATTTCAATGAAAATGCTCCATTGAAATGTGGTATCGTAAAGACCTCTGACCGGCTAGGAAAGGCTAGAAATGTATGAATCTCGAGTTGACCGCCGGTTGAACGTCTTCATACCTGCAGAACTCTTACACTGGAGGGAGTTTCCGGTCAAGAGACTTCGATGCCTAAGTTAGCTGTTGAAGAAGATAAGTATTGTATGAATAATGTATAATAGAGAATGTAATGTTGCTTAAGGCATGCCTCACCCCCTTTTATGGGGAGATGATACCTTGTTGTCCAAGATGGGCGCATGAGCAGCCCCGTCTACAGGATCATGAGTTAATCCGACTGCTCGTTCGTACCATTGCAGCTGTCCAGACTATCCAATTCCATTAGGTCACGTGGTCATCTCCACGTGGGGGTTTGATCCCTTGAATATTCCTTCTTATCCTTTAATTTTCTTCATTAGACGATCTAACCGTACATCTGACCCGATTACCTCAAGGTGGAATGCCATCGATGTTGAGCTCTGTTGTCACATTCACCTAGTCGATATTTCGACCCGGTGCTCTCTTAGGTCAAGCTTCCACCAGGCTCTCAAAGGTCGTCCTCTATTCAACCCGCTGGCATCATCCACGTCACTGGTATCTCCTTCAACCTGAGGGTCTCTCGACCTGTGGGGTCTTCATTCTCCGTTCGACCTTATGGCTGGTTCGAACGGAGAGGCAATCGACCATAACCATACCAGCCATCAGGTCGAATGGAATCGAACCGTTCGATTTGATGGTTGGCTTTATTTTGTCTCTTTTGTTTGTTTTTATTCGTATTTTCCACTTATTTCTTAGCTACTTTATTGATATTCACAAACACCACAAAAGATTAACAGGAGTAATTTAAATTCCAACCATATATTTATGCTTTTACATATCCAATCCTATTTTATGCATTATATAAATCACATTAATTTGCTTAAGAAGTAGTGCCTAATCAGAACATATATATGAAGCATAACTAGTTAAAAATTCTCTGGCCTGGAGACAGTATCTTCCTAGGATCAAACAAGGTTTTCCTTCTCTTAAACATTCCCCATTTGGACCCAAAATGCTTTTCCCATTCTTTTTGGGTTGCATAGTGAGGAAGATATTGCTTGACCTCGATACCCGCACTCTCGCAAACACGCAAAATTTCATTGTTAAACTTATCGATGTTTTGATATGCATCGGGCGCGGTCGAATGCAGAAGTGCGAGAGCATAGAATACGTCATCATCCGGTGTTACTGCAGACATTCTATCATCCCATCTGCACATGTGGAAAAAAGTCCAAGTTATGATGTATAAGAGGAAAAAAAAGTTTGTCCCTGTAAATGAGCTGACTGCATTGTATTTTTGGCATAACAAGTAAAATCAAATGATTACTTGTTTTTATTTAGTGGGTAGAAAATGAAGAGCCCTGATGTTCGGTTGAGCCGTGGAAGCATTCCAGCCAAAACAAGCGTATTGAACTCCACAATGTTGGATTTTGGTACAAAGAGATTGAGCCATGGATGAGATAGCTGAGATCCCATTTCTAGAGTATCCAAGTTTCCAACTCTGTGAATGAAATCAAAAAATGTCGCATCTGTACCGAAATCGAGTCCAGGGACGAAGTTCAACTTTTTTACCAATGCCTGGAATTCCTGCAAAAATAATAAAATTACAAATGAAATGTGACTACCTGACTGGGCTGGTATAAGTAGTCTAGTATGTATTTGGTCAGAGCAGCCAGTTAAACAGCCAAAAACCATACCAAACGAGATCAATATATTGAAACGACCATTTGAAATCATAATTGCATGAGCTTCAAACAAAAAAATAAAAAAAAAAAAAAAATTAAAAGATCTAATGCCTTTTATTGAATTGAGAGAACCATTCTCCTATGGCACTGCAGCCTTTCCCTAAAACAAGAATCGAAAAGAACTAATACGAACTCACCTAATAAAAACTATGAACATAAAAAATAATACGGGACCAAAGTTGGTAGCCCTAATAGTAATAAGAACAATGTTGGCAAGTAAATTAACCTGCTCAAAAATTAAATAAAAATATATATAACTTACTTGATCTATGGTCTCAGCAGTTTGATTGTCATAATACATGGCCAACTCTATGGCGTAAAGGATGCTTTGATTCGACAACAACTCAACAATCAGCGACTGATTTGACGGTGATACTGAGAAAGTGGGCCGCCATTGCTCAGTCGTACTCTCGTTCACGATCACGAAACCTTCCACATAGTTTGAGACGTTACTCGAGATAAGATATTCTTGGTCTTTTCTGAATGAGGAAAAATCGTTGTAAACCAATCTCGCCCATCTTGCCTGAGGAGTGAAAATTGAAATACCATAAACTTAAACTAGTGTTTATTCTAGCATACATGCACAAGAATTTTGATGATATATATATGCTTAATAACTAGTACTAGTACAATTAATATATATTTTACGATGCACCTAGCTATTTAGCGTGTTTATACGAACTTACCTTTGTTGGCGCTTTATCTAGGATGATTCTTGCTCTTGTTATGATGCCGAACTGTCCAAGACCACCTAAAACCCCGAAAAAAAGCTCGGAGTTTTTGTTTCTTGAACAAGTGACGAGTTTCCCTTTACCTAAACAGTGAGATGGAGATGGAGAAGAAGACAACTTAAAGAGCAATATGGACATTAGTGCTGGAAACCAAAAAACTGATTCATAGCATGCTTGTTTTCTTTACTTGTTTTATCCGGGTTGACTTTATGAAACATACTTTAGGATGTAGGAGTTTTTAGAGGTTCATTGGATTTCTGTTTTAATTGGATTTATGAGACAAAGTGAGTAAATTTTGAAAATTTTGAAAATGTTGATTGAGTAGTGGGATTTTGAGTTTGAATTTAAATAATATTTAAAATGTAATAATTAAAATTGAGTGATATAAAAGTAGGAGAGAAGTGGTTTGAGATGATAAGTAGTTAAAAATATGTGAGTGAATGAATAGTATATATTATTGATTTAATGTATGAAGGTAAATTAATTAATATTATATAATTATATTGATAAAAAGTATGAGAGTTAAGTTATATTAAAATTGAGTTGAATTTTTGGTTAAAAATGTATAAAAATATTATTCGGCCAATCAAAACCAAATTAAATGTATTTCCAATCGCCCATGACTAGATTCTACTGGATTGTTAGAAGCTTTGAAGAACTTAATGAATGCACCATTAAATCTATGCATATTAAAAACATTAGGATAAATTATTCAATTTTATCTATTTTTTTCATTTATATTTAAAAAAATGTATATCTATATATTTTTATTAATATATTTCTTTCGATCAACAATAACTTGCTAGATGCCAGCCCAAGTCATAGGGTGGATACAAAACCAATAAATATATAAGTTATGAAATTGCTAGGATGTAAGTTCATATAAAAGGAAGTTGATAAATGAAATACAATTAAAAATAAAAGTTGAAGTTTTTATTTTTAAATTTTTATGTATTCATTTATTGTTTTACTATCAAGCCATGAGATTTGTGGTCATTCCATACTGCAATACAATATTTTTTATTAAGTCATGTCGTATAATAGGTTTTTATAAATAATATTGTTATTATTTATCAATTATGACTGTTTATCAAAAATAAATTTTATTTATAAATTAAAATATAATTATTTTTTATTTTATATATAGAACAAAGATGTCTAATTAGTGATAGCAGATGCATGATTATAATTTTGATATACTAATAATAATTACAAAATTAATAAATTTTATAATATATTTATAATTTAAGTTGGTCAGATATAATATCATTTTAAAGTGTTAACAGACATGAATAAAATATGTACCGAATCAATACATATAATTATTACTTAAAAACTTAAAATTAACGCAGCCATGCCCCAGGATCGCACATAGTCAATAGAGAAAGAAATGGCTGAAAACTTCCCGTGAATTTGACTTCGATGCGGAATCGTTGAATCTACTGAATAATCACATGCGGCATTAATACATTCAGTTAAATTGTGTTATTGTAAGTCAATCAAATAATTAATATTAGATTCTTGTGTGTAAAATTGTAATGCTTTTTTTTTTTTTTATTAGTTCTCAGTGTTATAGTTCATATTAGTTCACTCAGGGGTATATTAGACCTTTTATTTGTTCTGTTTTAGTATAAAATATCTTTTGTTCCCCTTGTAACAGTAGAATATAATACTGATATTGTACCCTTTTCCTAATCGATGAATATGGCGATTTCCCTAAATTTCTTCTCTGCTGTACTTCCTGTTTCTCTGCTCTGCCATTAAACATGGTATCAGAGCGGGAGTAATAACAATCGAAGATGGTGCAAACCACGGCATGGAATGTAGTAGTGGCCGGTGGGCGAAACTCCGGCAACACTAGCGAAGGAAATCAATCGTCGGCGATGAGGACGGAGGATCCGTATCTGCTTCATAATTCCGATCATCCAGGTATGGCTTTGGTTTCGACTCTGTTAACCGGCTCCAACTATCAATCGTGGCGGAGAGCTATGACAATTGCACTTGGTGCAAAAACAAAGCTAGGCTTTGTTGATGGTCGAGTAAAAAGACCAGATCCAGATGCGGCGGAGTTCGAACAGTGGAGGAAAATCGATTACACAGTATACAGCTGGATATTAAATTCACTTGGCAAGGATCTCGTAGATGCGTTCTTATATGCAGAATCGGCTCAGGCACTGTGGGAAGAAATTGAGCAGCGGTTTGGAGAAAGCAATGGACCGATGCTATATCAGCTGCAAAAGGAGATCTCCAACATCAAACAGGAAGGAGACTCAATTGCAGGTTACTTCACTAAACTCAAAAGACTTTGGGATGAGTATTCTAGCTTGGTGCCTTTCCCTACCTGTAATTGTGGTGGTTCACAGCAGTTGGTTAAAATGGAGGAAGATAGGAAACTGATGCAATTCCTTATGGGATTAAATGAAAATTATGAGAGTGTTATGAGCCAGATATTGTTGCTTGATCCCTTGCCAAGTGTAAACAAAGCGTACTCCATGATCCAAAGAGTAGAGAAGCAGAGACAAGTACAACAGATGTTTCCTGATAATAGAGAGCATAATGCAATGTTTACCAAAGCCAATGCTACCACTAGATTTGTGAACAAAGGAAACAGTATGGGAAATAGTTGGCAGATGAACTCACAGAAAGGAGCTGTTGGTGGCAGAGTGACTAAAGAGGAGAAGGCTAAATGGAAGTGTGATTACTGTCAAGGATCTGGACATTTGGCTCAGACATGCTTCAAACTTCATGGTTACCCAGAGTGGTTTAAGTTGTTGAAGGAAGAAAGGGCAAAGCTAGGTGGAAGATCAGTGGCAAACTCAGTTAAGACTGAAGGAGTAGGCAAAGGAACAGCTGCAACTGAAGAAAGGAATGCCCTACCACTCCAGGACATATCAAATTTGATAAAAGAGGAAATTGCTAAGTATATGGGATCAGGAAGTGGACATAATATGAATGGAGGAGACAATCATGCACACTTTGTGGAATTTGCAGGTACTCCACTTCAAGGTAACCCTCACTTAGCCTTAACTAGTGTAGAGCATGTTGATGAAGGATCTTGGATATTGGACACAGGTGCTAGTAGACATATGAGCAATAATCCTACCTGTTTTGCCACTCTACAACATATAAAACCCTTGAACATTGTTCTACCAGATGGAACAAAGCTTAGTGTTAACCAAACAGGAACTGTTAAATTCAATGACAAGCTTTGTTTGCAAAATGTTCTCTATATACCTACTTTCAAATACAACCTTATCTCAGTTGCTCAATTATCTCAACAATCTAACATTGTTTGCACTTTTTATCCTACCCATTTTACCTTACAGGACCTGAGGACTAAGGATACTGTTGCAACAGGGAAGGCAGTGGGAAGACTCTATACCCTTGAAGGATCTCATTTTAGCCAAAGTTTTTGTTCTTCTGTTTTAGTGCCTAGTAAAGATACTTTTGATGTATGGCACCAAAGGTTAGGCCACTCTTCAGTCTCTATCCTTCAACACCTTGATTTCCTTAAATCTGTTTGTAATAGTGAAGGCAAATTTGTTACCTCACATTGTGATATTTGCTATAAATCCAAGCAGCCAAGAAACAGTTTTCCCACTAGTGTTTCTTTTTCAGTCTCTCTATTTGATTTGGTGCATGTAGATTTGTGGGGACCGTATAATGTACCCAATCTTACAAATACTCCTTATTTCCTCACTTTAGTTGATGACTATAGTAGGGGAACTTGGGTCTTCCTTCTCAAACATAAGTACTCAGTGACTGATATCTTACATGACTTCATACAAATGGTTAAAACCCAATTTAATGTCACTATTAAACAATTCAGAAGTGACAATGGCACTGAATTTCTTAGCCAATCTTGTCAAAAATTGTTTGCTTCAAATGGAATTTTGCACCAAACTTCATGTCCATATACTCCTCAACAAAATGGGGTAGTAGAAAGAAAACACAGACAATTACTAAACATAGCCAGATCTTGCATGTTCCAATCTAACCTACCATTGAAATTTTGGCCATATTCAATCCTTCACTCAGCCTATATCATAAACAGACTGCCTTCTTCATCAATTCAATGGAAAACCCCCTATGAACTTTTGTTTGGTCATTCAGCAGACTATTCTACCTTAAAATCCTTTGGGTGCTCAGTGTTTGCTTCAAATTCAGAACCGCATAAAAATAAATTTTCACCAAGATCCAGTCATTGTATCTTCTTGGGGTATATTGCAGGAAAGAAGGGTTGTCGACTGTATGATTTAGATAACCATAAAATTTTGATTTCCAGGGATGTACAATTCTTAGAAAATAACTTCCCTTTCCTTGACACTGTGGCTGAAACTGTTGAGACTCCACTGCCCATAATATCAACTCACCAACCTGATGAAACAATTTTTGATACCATACCTTCTGTACCTGGACCCTCACCTTCTGACCCGGGATCCTCAGAGATACACACTCCACCTTGTCCTACCAGAAATAGTACTAGAAAAAAAAATCCACCGCAGTGGCATTCTGATTATATTCTTACCTCTACTACAAGACCACTGTCTTCACTGGAAGCAGCAGACATTGACTCAGGTAATATCCCTTTTTTCCCTCTGTCACATCATATATCACCTTCATTACAGCCTTGCTATATGTCTTTTTTAGCTAATTTGTCTACTATCCAAGAACCTAAATCATTTGCTGAAGCTAGTAACGTACAAGAGTGGGTTGTTGCTATGCAACAGGAAATAGCAGCATTAGAAAAGAATGACACTTGGTGTTTGGTTGATTTACCACCTGGTAAGAAACCAATTGGGAGTAAATGGGTCTATAAAGTCAAACTACACCCTGATGGGACTGTTGATAGATTTAAGGCAAGACTAGTTGCCAAAGGTTTTCACCAAGTTTATGGTATAGACTATTTGGATAGTTTTTCACCTGTGGCGAAAATGGACACAATTAGGTTACTTGTGGCTGTTAGCAGTATGAAAGCATGGTCTCTCATTCACTTGGACATTAATAATGCTTTTCTACATGGTTATCTTAGTGAAGATATATATATGTCTTTGCCTGATGGATACTGTAAAGGAAAAGCCGGACAGGTGTGTCACTTAAAGAAGAGCCTCTATGGGTTGAAACAAGCATCACGGGAATGGAATGCTGAATTCTGTGCAAAATTGTTAGTTTTTGGCTTCGTACAATCAGCACATGATCACTGCCTATTTGTGAAAAATGACGCACATGGTTTTATGGCTTTAATCATATATGTTGATGATATACTTTTAACCGGCTCACATGTTGAAGCCTTGCAGCACGTCAAAGTATATTTGGATGGCTTGTTTACAATTAAAGACTTAGGTGAGGCCAAATATTTTCTGGGGGTTGAGTTGGTCAGAGGACATGAAGGGATATATTTGAATCAAAGGAAGTATGTGATGGACATTCTCACAGATACGGGGATGGTTGATTGCAGAGCTGTCTCCACACCTTTTCCTAATGGCCTGAAGTTATTTTCTGGTCATGGTGATACGTTGCAAAATCCAGATCAATATAGAAGATTGGTAGGCCGATTACTATATCTTAATATGACACGGGCTGATATTACTTATGCCGTTCAACAGCTAAGTCAATTTGTGAGTTCTCCTTGCTCTAGTCATTGGGATGCAGCTCTTCATGTCGTTCGGTATCTCAAGGGCCAGCCTTCTCTTGGCCTTTTTTATCCTTCTTGTGCTACTTCTACTCTCAGTGCTTATAGTGATGCTGATTGGGGGTCTTGCCCAGATAGTAGAAGGTCTTTGACTGGTTATTGTGTTTTCTTTGGAAAATCGCTCGTTGCTTGGAAAACAAAGAAGCAGGTCACGGTTTCTCGGTCCTCGGCTGAGGCCGAGTATAGAGCTCTTAGCAGTACAGTTTGTGAGCTCAAATGGCTGTCTTACCTTCTTCATGACTTGAGTATTACTTTCCCCACTCCTGTGCCACTTTGGTGTGACAATCAGGCAGCTCTTTATATTGTTGCCAATCCGGTTTTTCACTAGAGGACAAAACATCTCGAAATTGACTGCCATTTGGTTCGAAATGAGTTTAAAGCTGGCTTTGTGCAGCCCCTGAAGGTGTCTTCTACTTTGCAGTTAGCCGATATTTTTACTAAGCCTTTAGGGCCTTCTGTTTTCTTTTCTTTAAGGTTCAAGCTTGGTCTTGCTGATGTTCATCAAGTACCAGCTTGAGGGGGGGATGTTATAGTTCATATTAGTTCACTCAGGGGTATATTAGACCTTTTATTTGTTCTGTTTTAGTATAAAATATCTTTTGTTCCCCTTGTAACAGTAGAATATAATACTGATATTGTACCCTTTTCCTAATCGATGAATATGGCGATTTCCCTAAATTTCTTCTCTGCTGTACTTCCTGTTTCTCTGCTCTGCCATTAAACACTCAGATATTTAAATTAGAATAATATCTCAATTTCTGATGCTACAGACGTTCAAACAAAAAATGGGTATCTTTTACTTTCTAATATTTTGTATGATATTATTTTAAAGTTTTTTATTTAACTTTATTTCATTAAATACTCAAAATTAATAAAAATAAAAAATAAAAAAAAAATATTTAAGAGGAATTGCTAGATAACTAATTGGATATTTTGGATTCTTTGGAACATTCTATTTGGCTTATGAAGGTATAAATTGAGTTAAATGTCCCCACTTTTTGTTTGAGTTTTAGTTTTGCGACATTCTTGATTATGTCGGTTGAGCAACAACGGATCCAATACCTTACCATTGTTAAATACGCAGAAGAATCACGATTAATTCAAGATGTCTTGTCTAGTGGTTTCAGCAAGTTTGAGCAATACAAATAAAAATAAATAAGAAAGAGAAAATATCATAATTTACATGCTGCAACTATAAATTAATTATCATATATTGGCAAACAAAACATTATTTCCAAGACAAGAAGAAGAAGCACTTGAAAAGTAATAAGACGCACAAAGTAATTAATTAGTTTTCACAAACAAAGTCAAAGGACTTATTTATTCTTTATAATTATTTTGGAATTTGGAATATGTGGTACTTGGTAGTTTTGCAATACCTCACATATTTCATTCGAACCTTCTATTAGTCAAAGTATAATTTTAGTCAAACCAATTGTTATGCCATTTTCTGAAGGAAATGACTACACAGTCCCGTCAAAGAATAACCATGGATTATCTCAATTTTACTATAGAGCCATCAGATAACACGATTTATGGAGTCAACCACATTTATTCACAAATAGTGTATTGACACGTGTCCTACAATAGATACACTTTGGATAGGTGTCAATACATTAAGTGATGAATGACTCCATAAGGAAACCATCTGATGGCTCCATAGAATTTTCGTGGATCGGATTAACTATCCTACACTAATCTACATGCGTATTCCAAGACTAATAATAACTACGGAATCATTCCGTGACAGGATTACAGTGATTCCTTGTTTTTACAGGCCTAAATTAAGCAGCAGTTGACTCACCTGTAATGACCTCAAGCTGAAGAACATTTGCAATCTGCGGTCCATGCAAGAACGCCTGCCCGCTAATCCCAGCATTCGAGAGGGTTCCACCCACTGTCAGGTACAAATAGTCCGTCCACGAGACAGGCGCCAGCCCCTTCCTGAGTGCAGCTCGCAACACGTCAACCCACAATTGCTCAGCCCCAATATCTGCATAATAAAACCCTAACGAATTCCTCCGGATTCGTATCCTACTGCTCTTTTCCCCAAGACCCCTCATATTGACCACCACGCCACCAGAAGACATAGCCTGTCCCCTGACCGAGTGCCCGTGTCCTCTGGCAGCAATGCTCGTCACATTAGATGACCTCACGAGACTGATGATGTCACTGGCTGACGAAGGGTACAAGACAGAGGAAGGAATTTCTCGGACTATGTGTCCGTAGTCGGTTGAGGCTAACGTGATGGACACGTTGTCGTTGAGGAGCTGGTAAGCGGTCGTTTGTGGCCATGAATTTTGATAAATAATTAAAATTATAATTATGGGAAAGATGAGCACATTGATGTGTGGAGGGTTAGAGAGGGGAATAATAGTCATTGGGAGGTGAAGTTCAATCAATGAGAAATTTGATTAATTTGGTGTTATGAGATGGATTATTTATACTAGATTGCTTGTTGAATTGAGAATGAGATTATTTATTTTTGATTTGGTCGGTATTGCTCCTTAATTGTCTTAGTCAGGATCTGGATCTGGCTCGTGGGATATATATTATGTGATGTAATTAAGTGTACATTGTTAATGGATGTGGTTAATACTAAATAGAATGCCGAGATTGCAAGTATATATCATCATCATATTTTCGGCGAATGTCAGGATATTTTTTCATTTATTATATATATATATATATATATATTAGTATATGGTGTAATTTTTTTTTATTTTTTTTTTAATTTTGTTTTAAGGTTGAGAGAGTGTGATCTTGTGATCAGGGTGGAGGTACATTAAAAGACACCTGGACTGCAGCCCGAGTAAAGTTTGAAAATTTTTTGAACATTGTAGGTAAAAATGAAGTCAATTTATATTAGTAGCCCACTTTTNTTTTTTTTGTCTTTTGGGAAATCTTGGTGAGAAATCTATTTCTTTTTTCCACATTTTATACATATCTTATGAGTTAAAATCAATTTTTTTTGATAATCTACAAATAGACATTCATATTGAATGTAAAAAAATATTTTCTTAATGCTGTTTATTACCTATCATTACCAAAGACGCACTATAAGAAAATTATGAAATTGCAACACACAATTCCAACGAAAATATATTTCAATGGAATTTAAACGACAATTGCAATAGACATTTTATTGCTATTATTTTCGTTGAAAATTTTCAATAGATTCAAATGAAAATTTCAACAAAACTAATTCGTTGGATTAAGTTTTTCTTTGGAATTTTTGTTGGCGATTATGAAAATTTCAACAATACAAAATAATTCAAAATAATGTTTTTTAATCTAAATAATTCTAGCCTGAGTAGATTAATATTGATTTAGTCACAATGCAAATATTGAATCTCACAAGTTGTCCACGGTGTCAAGTTAGTTTAATGATTTTGGAAGCTTACACGGAGTTTCACGTGATCTGCGCGCAGCTTCTTAATAGCTTATTTAACTCATGATCACCAAAATTCAACTTTCGTGATTCATGCCATAAAAAAAACCAACTAAATAAGCATGATGGATTTGATTTTGAATAATTCTAGGGTTATCGTGAGGAGAGATAATCTCTGACGAAAACATTAATAGGGAATTGTGTGCATATATATATATATATATATATATATAAAAGGATGCGTTCCGGTGAGAATAATATTCAATTAAAGAAATAAAAATAAATCATAATTATCGGATCGGATGATCCAACAGTAAAAAAAATCAGTATTTCTACATTCATTAATAGTATTATAGATATTTACTCACACACCACCAACTATCCACTACATTAATGGCCCCACTTCCCAATTAAAATCACGCCATTACCCAGGTCAACTCTTTCTCTCTCTCTCACGCCGACACACACACACACCAACGGTCACACACAAACAAGCACACATATACACACTTGAATCTGTCAAGGCCCAACGGCCACCGGCCACTTCACAGAGGAACGCCGCAGTCCGGCGTCGTTCCCGAGAACGCCGTCCGTCCACCAGAAATCCGACGACGAGAGGTCGTCTTCTCCGGCATCTCAAAATCCAACGACGAGAGGTCGTCTTCTCCGGCGACACAAACCAGAAAAGCTTCCAGGGACACGTCATCTCCGCCTCCATCCTCGCCGTCCCCATTACTGACAACGCCGAGCAACCGCCACCGTCAGAGCGCCATCATGGTCAGATTCCGTCGCAGCCGTTAAAGTCGTCATCTCCGGCATCATCCTCGATCGTCAAGCTCGACATAAACATCCTTCGTTCAGATGCAGCGACACAAACAAAAAAAAATGGACCTTCAAGCTCAACGTCGAGCTTCAATGGCGCATCGTCAGACGTCGCCGGACAGCGGCCGCTGAAGACGGCGACGCCGGCAGTTGTCGGTCGGAGAAGCTGACGGAGGTCGGTCGCCGGTGGAATGGCTGAGATACATATTTTGGTTGAGGGACTTATGTTTGAAAATTTAATAAATTCAAAGACTAATTTGCAAATTTAATAACTTTTGTTAATTTCAATTGAACCCTTGGGGTCAATCTGTAAATTCAAAAAAGTTTAAATATATTTAAATTTAGTCCATGGGCCAAATCTATAATTTACAGAAAATATACAATAACACATTATATTATATGTATTTTTTTGATGCATATATATATTATTATGATAAACCCAAAATCAAAAATATAAAAATTAAATATAAAAATATTAAAATATTCATTTTTTTTAAATTAATATTAATCTATTTCTATTATTTAATATAATTCAATTAATCAACAAATAAAAAAAAATATTGCACTGCATAATTCACACTATTACCAAACAATATGCACAATAGTGAACGTCATATTGCACAGTATTGTCAGATCAAATGCACATTAGAATTGAATATTACAAAAAAAAAAAGAAAAAAAACATAACCGACCAACTTATCTATATATTAATTATTTCTAGTAAAAAATAATATAGAATATTAGAATAAAAGTTATAAATACTAAATATATTTTCTTATATAAATAATTTGATAAGTGCACAGTCATATTAATTGAAATACACGTTATTAATTTTTTCTAACATTGTAACGTATTAAAAAAATACACAAACAATATACTACACAATAATGCTAGACTAAATGCACATTATTGCATGTGAGAATGCACAACATCAAACTTATAATTTTATATATTATATTTTGTCAACCAAAGGAAAATATAAAATTATTAAGTTAAATTAATAAAATATTAAATATAATATTAATATAAGTAATAATTTGTTTGTTTATTTAGGGTTATACGGTTAACCGGTATAATACACTAAATAAATCATATTAATTTTAGTTTACATTGAGATAAAAAGTTTGGTTATATTAGAATGCACAAAAGCGACCGAGACTATGCACTCATATTGGACAAGTAGCACATTAATACCTATCAGACTGCACAAACGACCGAACTAAGATTTTTTGGTTCGAATTTTTTATATTTCGATTTAATTATCTATTTTTTACTTTTAAAAGTTTGAATATTTGGATTCTATGTCGACATTATTATTTAAAACAAAGAAACACCCAAAACGGTAAGCGGTGCAAAGTCTATAGTAAAATAAAATTACAATGTGAATTAGAATGTGCATTTTAACCTACAATATTGTGCATTAATTATATCATTAATGTGGATTTGTTAAACTTTTAATAAATTACAAGAATGCCACACATATTAAAATATGAAAAATTAAAAAAAGAAATTGAAAATTGCATCATAGTTCCTATAACTTATTCAATTCTCAATAACAAGTCGTAGACACAAAAAACACCAAAATTCCCGTCACTCAGCCCTGACCAACGCCCTATGCCTGCCCCCTTCGCCTGCCGCCATCCGCCCGCCGCCCGACGCCCGCCGCCATCCGCCCTCTGTCTGTGGCATCTTCTCCCACCAGGTCGCCGACGTTTGGTGTCTGAGACGGGACGATTTAAGCCTCTCGATGCTATATTGACGACGGCCGCTGTAACTATCCATCGACCACAGATCTCCGCCATTCGTCTTCCTCTGCCTATGCCGCCAGAAAATATTCCCCCGGCGACCCACAATCAGCACCGAGATGAATATATCTACTCTGCCGTGCTAGAAGCCTTCTTCGCCGGAAGTCCGAGAGTCGGTCGTGGATGGTGACGGGTAACTGTTGCAGCGGCGATTCTTTCGGTTGCCGGCGACTGGACCGGTGGATCTGACCGGCGTTGACCGTTGATGTAGCGTGTGTGTGTGCGTGTGGCGCGAGTTAGTGTGTTTTTTTTTTGTGTGAAAATGAATCTTNATGTGGAGGCGATCGGTGCTGGGTGGTCGGCGGAGAGAGATCGTATGGTGGCGGCGGTGAGTGTGTGTGTGTGTGTGTCTGTTAATTCTGAAAATTAAGATGAGGAGGATGGTGTAGATGACGATGGTGAGATGGGAGATGGTGGGTGTGGGTCCCACCTGATGAGATGATTACTATTTATTTACTATATTGCCATTAATGATTGACCATTATTTATTAAAATTTGACTTGATCATCACCATTGGTGGGATTGATCTTGTGGTCTAGAATCATTCTTATTTATTTCATTGTGTTTCATTCTTATTTGAGCGCACTTCTATATATATATTTATATATATATAGATAAGTTACTGTGAAAATGATTCTTAGTGAAAAAATACACCGTCTAGTGTTTTACATACCGTATCGGTGGCCATATTGGTCCAGCCACCGGTACGGGGTATTACCGGTCGGACCACCGGAATAGCAAATGTAATGATATATATATTTATATATAAAAATGTACTAGTACAATACCCGTGTATTACACGAGTGTTGAATTAGAAAGTTTTTGTAAAAAATATTAATTTTTTATTTTTTTTAAAACTAAAATAATTTAATTTTATATAAAACATTACTTTGAGTTTTAATTAAATTATCAAATTATATTTTTTTTAATCATAATAATTAAACACCCGTACATTAAATGAAAATGTCAACTCGTGTTGAACTTATATCATATAAAAATATCTATATTATTTACTTATATAAGTACAAAAATATATATTTTTTAAATAAGTAGAAGTAATATGGTGATATGTATATGCATAAGTGTAGAATATGTTTATTTAATATTAAGCAAAATAGATTAATTTTTTTACTTATTTCGATGTCCAATACATCAAGTGTCGTATCAGTCGTATATTATTTTTCAAAGAATACATACCAGTTTCTATTACTTTATAGTATAGTTTATAGTTTTATTTGATATAATTTAATTTAGTTTGATAAATAAATTTAAATTTCATTTATAAGGATATGTATTACTGTTTTGTATTATATATATATATATATATATATATATATATAAATAGTAAAATACAAACGAACAT